TTGGTAGGTTGGTTGGTTCTTGGTTGGTTGGTTGGGTCGTTGGTTGGTTGATAGGTTGGTTGGTTGGTTGGTTGGTTGATTGGTTGGTTCTTGGTTGGTTGGTTGGTTGGTTGGTTGGTTGGTTCTTGGTTGGTTGATAGGTTGGTTGGTTGGTTGGTTGGTTGGTTGGTTGGTTGGTTGGTTGAACAGTGCAGAAATGGTGTAGTCATTTATGTTCATTCAATGAAACTAGTAGTGTTGAAGGTAAGAAACGTGTATTGTCATAACTGGTCCAACAGTATGTCTTCATTCATAAAACAAAAGTAGAGACTCTCTTCTACAATTAAAGGCACAAGTTCATTTGCAGAATTACGAGGCATGTATATGTACGTGTATATTTGACGGAAAATGGATGGACAGTTGCTGTAAAAAATACCTTAAATGGACGACAAAAATGCAGATGCTACCTAATACTAAAACATACAACTGAAAACCCAAGCAGCTTCCATGCAGTGCTGTGCTGTGCTGTGCTATGTTGTGTTGTGTTGTGTTGTGCTGTGCTGTGTTGTGTTGTGATGTGTTGTGTTGTGATGTGCTGTGCTGTGCTGTGTTGTGCTGTGCTATGTTGTGATGTGCTGTGTTGTGCTGTGCTGTGTTGTGCTGTGCTATGTTGTGTTGTGCTGTGTTGTGATGTGCTGTGCTGTGTTGTGCTGTGATGTGTTGTGCTGTGCTGTGCTGTAATGTGTTGTGCTGTGTTGTGTTGTGCTGTATTGTGTTTTGCTGTGCTGTGCTGTGATGTGTTGTGCTGTGCTGTGCTGTGATGTGCTGTGCTGTGTTGTGATGTGTTGTGTTGTGTTGTGCTATGTTGTGCAGTGTTGTGCTGTGCTGTGTTGTGTTGTGCTGTGCTGCACTGTGCTGTGTTGTGTTGAAGTACGTATTCACATGTTCAACAAGAACAGGCTGTACATCAGAGTCAGACCACTCACCAGTCTTGAACAGCACGATGCCCTTGAGACAGGCGTACTCCACAGCGTCCAGCTGCATGTGGTGAAACTTGTGCAGCGTGTCCTGGAGCAGCTGGACCTGCTGTAGGAAGGACGTCAGTCTGCCGGGGGACGTCTGCTCACAGGGGAGGCCTGAAAACAACATCAAGTTACATGTTTAAAGTTAAAACTTTTGGTCCAACACAAAAATTCACCTAGAGCTTTCGACCAGTCACTCTGGTCTTCCTCAGTAGACTGACCCAGTGAGGCTTGTCACGTGGCTTCTTTGAAGTGTGACGTCAACACTGGGTCAAAGGTATCTGGTAGACAACGTCGGCCCCTGTCGCGGTTAAAAGCTCTAGGTGAGAGAATTTTTTGTGTAACCCACCAAAAGTTTTAACTTTAAACATGTAACTTCCAACACAGATGAACTTTCATGATAGAACACCAAGTTGCGTCGATGAAAGTCAGACATGTAATAAGATACACAACTTGTTTTGTCATAAAGAAATCGTTACTCAAGAAAATGGATAGACTCTTAAAACTATCAGATGTCCAAGTAGCATCGACTATTCGTCAGTGACTGACAAAAAGAAGTGGATGCTACTTGAAACGTTACAGTATAATCCCTTCGCTTGTAAAGTTTTCCACATGCAACAGACAAGTTTTGAACAATGACAAAAAGTCAGGGATAACTGGTACACTGTACAGCCCTCTGTGACGCAGCAGAACTTAGCAATAACGTATAAACATCTCTCCTCGGAGCTCTTTGATATTGAGTATGACTCCGGACATGACATGGCTACATGACTTATAGACATTGTCTTGTTGTTGGTTGAGCTGTCATAGGTGTGATTATTTGAGGGATCTGTCCACATCTCAACAGATACTGGATCAGAGAAACACGGAAATACATTGCGTGCTTCAGTTATATATAATATAATTAGGGAAGAAGTTCCAAATATTAAAGATGCATTATGTAACATCAGGATGATACAAAACATGTTTTTTTTTCATTTATTTACAAAGCAACATCAGCCCTAGCCTCTACCAGGCTTCGGGAAATGGCTGGAAAGAGTAAAAATATACAAATGATATGCCAGGGGAGTTGGTCCATGCTAAGAGAACAGTTTGCCACTCCCAAAGGAGGTGCAAAAATATTACACTGCATACAATATAATATTAAAATATTACTACAAGTGTATTAAAAGCTGGAAATAAAGCTGTCAGCCATGTTTGTTTACATTCTGGTAATTTGTGGTGGCACCACAAACTGAGTGCATCTCGTGTGGGTAGTTTTAGTGCCAACCATAAATGTGAGAAATGTGAGAAATTGCAGAAATTTTCAAAGCGGAAATAAGTGACAATCACATGACGGTTTTTCAATTAGACTAAATACAATTTTGGTGTAAAAATGTTACATACTGCCCCTTTAAGAACGCATCAGATGTACTCTCTCACCTGCCTCCACCGCCAGTTGTTTGGGGTCCATCGGGAGCGCCCACTGAGCCAGCCCCAACAGGAACATCTCCGGCCAGCTACTCTGCAGGAGGAGGTGCTACACGGGGAGGCACATGGCACACTGTTGGGTTTATTTAGTCAATGATAAAGGTAGTCCCATGGCCCTTTTTGAGGCCGTACGGGACACTGTAGGTTGTTATCTACCGTGTCCAGAGCACGGCACTGGAAGGCAGTGCCCAACCCTATCCTTCCACCGCCTATTGCCAATAGCGTGAAATTTGTGTTACAATAATGTAGATCCAAATAAAGAAAACAAACAGACAAACAAACAAACAAACCCACCTGGTCATGACTAGAGAGTGTTAGGAATGTCGGGATACTCCTGACCCAGTGCAGGGTCATGTTGAGTAGTCTCGCTGCAGACTCCTGGACAGGCTCCGTCTTACAGGACCATCTCTGGAGAACCTCTACCGGGTACTGGTGCAGGGGAGAACGGGCAGAACAGCAAGAGTTAAAAGACTTTTTTTAGTTTTAATCAGCTGTGCATTTAACCTTTGAGTAAGGCCACAGCAAGTAAATTTTATGGATAACATCCTCAACAGACTCCAAATCTAATGCAAGCGGGCGAAAAAAACAAGGCGGGACCGAAAAAAACAAGGTTCCTACATTTTAAA